TTAAAATTACTAACATGTTCTCTTTCAAAATTACTAACATGTTCTCTTTCAAAATTACTAACATGTTCTCTTTCAAAATTACTAACATGTTCTCTTTCAAAATTACTAACATGTTCTCTTTCAAAATTACTAACATGTTCTCTTTTAAAATTACTAACATGTTCTCTTTCAAAATTACTAACATGTTCTCTTTCAAAATTACTAACATGTTCTCTTTCAAAATTACTAACATGTTCTCTTTTAAAATTACTAACATGTTCTCTTTCAAAATTACTAACATGTTCTCTTTCAAAATTACTAACATGTTCTCTTTTAAAATTACTAACATGTTCTCTTTCAAAATTACTAACATGTTCTCTTTCAAAATTACTAACATGTTCTCTTTTAAAATTACTAACATGTTCTCTTTCAAAATTACTAACATGTTCTCTTTCAAAATTACTAACATGTTCTCTTTCAAAATTACTAACATGTTCTCTTTCAAAATTACTAACATGTTCTCTTTCAAAATTACTAACATGTTCTCTTTCAAAATTACTAACATGTTCTCTTTTAAAATTACTAACATGTTCTCTTTCAAAATTACTAACATGTTCTCTTTCAAAATTACTAACATGTTCTCTTTCAAAATTACTAACATGTTCTCTTTTAAAATTACTAACATGTTCTCTTTCAAAATTACTAACATGTTCTCTTTCAAAATTACTAACATGTTCTCTTTTAAAATTACTAACATGTTCTCTTTCAAAATTACTAACATGTTCTCTTTCAAAATTACTAACATGTTCTCTTTCAAAATTACTAACATGTTCTCTTTCAAAATTACTAACATGTTCTCTTTCAAAATTACTAACATGTTCTCTTTCAAAATTACTAATATGTTCTCTTGTGATTGAGTCTTTATCTTCTAAATTTATATCATACTTTAAAATTCTGAAAATATTCGAAAAGTTTTTTGGAATACTTGCAGAATTACTTTTCGTATTAAATGTACGTAAATTAATTACGTACATTTAATACGAAGTTTAAATGTCATCTGTCATCTGTCTTAGTTTGAAAAATGTTTTTTTCAAATACAAAAATATCTTAGATTTAAAAAAATGTTTTTCATTTTTCAGGAAATAGCAAAACAAAATAAATTTTAAATGCACTTTTTTTGCAAGGCCTAACATAAATCTAACTTGCATAAAAGCATTATTAAGTATTTAGCTAATGTATTTTTTAAAAGTTCAGCAAGATTATATCTTACATAATAAATTCATTAAACGTTTTTAAACTTGTTTTTAGTATAAAAGATTCATGCAAAAATAATCTTTCCTAATAAGTACGTACAAAACCACTAACTTTGACTCGCGCGTTAATTTTTTTCGGAGAACTCTGACAATAATTTTCTATAAGGTTTTTGATGCGATTTTTTATATAGTTTTTACCGGTTTTTACATCCATCATGACAACCATTTAAAACAACCATGACATTCATTAAAAACACCGCGACAATCAATTAAAACAATGTGATTTTCAATCGATTTTCAATTAAAACATTTAACGAATGCGCAATCTTAACATTCTATATTATTTTTTAAAAAAAGGTCTTCTTTATATATTTATTTATCTAATATTATATAAATTTATTTTTATTAATATTATATTAATTTATTTTAATTTAATGGAATTTATTTTAAATTTGAATGGATGTCACGTTTGTTTTAAATGGATGCAAAACCATATTTTTTTACATATTTTTTATACACATACTGTATTGGCAAAACAACCATGATGTTCAATTAAAACATGCATGATGATAATACTGATTTCCTATTAAAATATTTAGCGCATGAGGATATTAGATTTTCATTAAAACATGCAGCGAAATTCTGTTTGCCAAAATAAGCGAAAATTTGTTTTGAGATTGGTCGTTGATCAAAGAAAAATTCAATCTGAAACTTCATTGCCACAAAAAACTCAATCTGAATCTTCATGCCGCGAAATTCCGTTTCTTAAAATATGCGAGATCTTGTTGTAAATCTAGTCGTTGATCAAGGAAAAACTCAATCTGAAGCTTCATCGTTAACAGGAGTTAATCGAAACACAATACAATCAATTTTAAGAATGTACGATCGAACGAATTCAACACTTCCTGGTTCTAGAGGTGGCGCTCGTCTCGTTATTTATAATGAAGAGATTAGAAGAAGAGTTGAAGAGCTTATAAACGATAACACAACGACAACTATAATTGAAATTAAATATGCTTTAGATGTAAATGTATCAATTAAAACTGTCTAAAGATAGGTGACTAATCTTGGATACACATATAAAATTACTCGACCAAATTATGAATGAAGAAGAAACGACAATGATGTAAAAAATCTTCGTATTGAATATGTTAGGGGTATACTTCAATCTCGCCTATTAATCGCTATCGAAATATTGTTTTTATTGATGAAAGTTCATTTAATTTACACATGTTTCGCAGTCATTCATGGGCAAGAAGAGGAGTAACACCAAACCCGATCATTCACCCTAGGCAACATAACGTATCGATGATATTGGCCGTCAATGGTTTAAATATTATTCACTGCGAAGCTGTCAGTGTGTCAGTCAACACAGTTTTGTTTCAAGAATATATTGATGAAGTTGTACGAGTTTTGGGGACAGAGGAAAAATTCACCCTGGTGATGGATAATGTCGGAATCCATCATAATGTTGAAATGAGGGCTCAGAACATTCAAATAAAATATTTACCACCATATTCACGATTCTTGAATCCGTGTGAAGAGATTTTTTTTTTATCTTAAGAATAACGTGCGCTCAGCTGGAAGAAATTAACTAATTTCAAGAATGCGCGAGGCATGCTTATCTATTCCTAATGTTAACTTATCAAACTATTACACACACTGCGAAAGCTTTTTCAAAGCGTGTCTTAGGTCAGATGACATACCTCGACAGTAATTGGAAAATAAACATATTTTAAATAAAATAAAATTTTAAATTTTTTAAAAAAATCGAATAAAAAAAAAATAAAGAAAACCTTTTTTAAAAAATAATATAGAATGTCGAGATTGCGCATGTGTTAAATGTTTTAATTAAAAACCACGATTGTTTTAATTGAAAATCACATTGTTTTAATTGATTGTCCCGGTGTTTTAAATGAATGTCATGGTTGTTTTAAATAGGTGTAAAAACCGGTAATGGGTTGTTTCTTTTAATAACGTTTCTGTTTGTTTTTTTTTCTTTGTTTTTTTTTAGTTTTTGAAATAAAAACTTTTTTTTATAAGAGTTCTGATGAATAAAGATTAAACAATTTATTAAAAATAATCAAAAAATATATATATTCTGTATATAAAATCTCAATATAAAATCTAAAAGGCTTGATTAATTTATACAAATAAGCAAGTTATTTAGGTAAAAATTAAAATAATTATGGAAATGATAAAAGTGTGAGCATAATAAATTTGGCCTTATCTTTTGAGTTTGTTTTTTTGTCTACAGAACTGTTGCGGCCAAATCTTCAACCTTTTGTCTACATTTTATAAACGTGCTTTTGAAAATTCATTATGCGTTTGAAGACATTATGTCTAAACATTGTCTAAACGGAGACGTGACGTCAAAATCAATTGTTTAGCGATAATCTAATCAATTCAGGGGCGCTCGACGTTAGCAACGATTTACATTTATAAACTTTTATTTATTTTGAGTTCAATAATACAATAACTGTATAAAAAATAATTTATTTAGCTTTAAAATTATATTCATTTGAAATCATACACATATAGTATATAATTTATTATATATTTGGATGAAATAAATTATTATTTACTAACAAATTATTTACTTAGTAATATACTTAATTTTTTACTTACATTATTATTAATTATTTACTTACAAATAAATATTCGCTTATTTTGTGAAGTGAAATTTTAGATTATTTTAATCAAATGTCTAAACTGATATTAAAATGTTTCACTGGATGATGATGTCTAAGCTAATTGATTAATTAAGTAGAACGCGTGAATATAATTTATTTATATTATAATTAACCGCTACGAAGTAATAAATTACGGCGTTACGGAACGAGGGAATCTGTGACCTAAGTGGTTATGTTATAAATTCCAATAGACGTACAAGTTTTTATATTATTAAAACGTAATAGTAATATAATAAAACGTAACGGTTATAATTTTGAAAACATTTTGAGGATTTTTAGCATTTTTTAAGAGCTAAAGAATTCATTATGAGGATAAAAATCATTTACAATCATAAAATAAGATGTTTTGTCAAACACTAGCATTACAATTTGTAAAAATAATTATTAAAGATTACGGTTTGTTCTATTAGGCCGGGTGAATAAAAATGAGCAACCATTTTTACTCAGTAATTGGTCAACTTTATGTGAATAAAAACTTTAAAATTTTTTATAAAAAAATTAAAAATTTGAGCAAAACTGCTAAAGTTTTTATTTATGTCAAGATGAACAATTATTGAACATTTTAAGCAATTGCTCATTTTTATTCACCCGGCCTATTGTCTGTGATAATTTGGCATCATTTAAGCAAGTTGTAGAGTATTATAAAGACATTTCCGGGCAACAAAGCGATCACGGTCAATTACTATATCGTTTAGTCTACGCTATTAAAATCATTATTATTTTTTCATTACCCATGATAAACAGTTAATCAAATTCAACTTTTACCTTTTGTAAATAAATTGCATTTCAGCTTAACTTTAAGAATAAATATATGTTATGAATAAAAAACAATATCTTAAAAAAATCTACATAGTTATGACTGACTTTATCGCTATTAGTTGTTATTATCTAGTGTTTAGACGGATCTAAGCTAGCGATTTTCGTAGCCTAGTCGCCAAACTAGGAAATTAGCATATTAAAAACTTATTGTGCAATTTATTACGCAATTATAGTTGATAAAACAAAAATAAATGACCAATAAAACAAATTAAAACTAAATATAACAATACAAAAGTATAACAAAAAATAAAAGTACCTTTAGCAAAAAAAAGTACCTCTTTTCGTCTATCTTAAATATATAAGTATGCTTAACATTGTGTTTGCATTAATGTTTACACATATGCATAAATATATGCACATATGAAAAAGATTTTAAAAACATATTGAAAATAAACACTTCAAAGAAAACGAAATTTATCTAATACAACGGAAAAAGAAACAAAAATGGCGCAATTCATCAAACAACACTTTTATTAAAAAACAACAATGCGCATTTTACCAAACAAAATGATGAAATTAAAACACAAATCACAAAAAAATGTTTAATTAAACAAATTAATAATAATTTGAACAAGCAAATAGCGTTAATACAAACATTAAAACAAGTTAGAAAGTGGACTGGTGGTTGTAGCGCGGGGGTGTCAAAAAACCCACTAAAACATTGTTATTATTATGCAACAAAGAAGTGATTTTAAAAATTTGATCATTTTCGATACTTTTCTTTTGAATTTTCCTTTTACAAGACGGTACTTTAGTTTTATTCGCAGTTCGCTGTTATAATACTTTTATTGTGATTTTTATTTATTACTTTTTTACCGATTTTACGAATTGCAACTGCAACGTTTGAGCACAAAATATTGGCAATGGTCTTGTGTGAGCATAGGATAAATCCCTATTCGCCTTTTTAAAGTTCTAGGCCGGACGTGAAAAAAAAAAAAATTTAGCATTACGTCGAAAACGTGATAAAGTTTTTTTTATGTGTGGTTTTTATATTATTTATTTTCATATCGTTATATCGGCTAACTATTTTTATTTTTAAATCTGAATTATTGACTTAGTTATAAACTTATACATAATAAAATTAAAAAATTTCATTTCATAACTATATTACAATTTTACTTAAAACGGTTACGACAACGACGACTTAAAAAGTTATAATTTTTACGTTCCTGTTGCAGTTGGCAATTTGATTTCGTTAAGTCGCTATTAATAAATTACAACGTTGTACAACATTGTAAAAAGAAAACTAGGAATTATTTGCGTGTAGTAATAAATTTTAAGATAACTTCATAAAAAACATAATAATAAGCAGAGAAAAAAGTAAAAAAGCCTAACTGATTTTATGATAAAATACGCTCAAAATGTTATTAGAGTTACTATATTTACTGATCTAATCATTCAGCACTTGGCGTGAGGACGATCTTCTTTAGAATTTTCTTTCCTTCCAATTTTAGTAGAGATTGACATGACATCAGTTCAAAATCGAATGCAAATTACATAAATATGGTTCAATTTTTAGTTCTTTTTAATACTAAGTATTTAAAAAAAATGTCATCCCTAAAAAAAAAAATTTGTTCAATTACAGGGCATGTCGTATTTTTTGTATAACTGAAAAATATAATGGTTTGTACTCTTTTTAAAACTTTGTGATTTTTTTTCTTACTGTATATAGTGAAATGTAAAACCGTAATTTTTTTTCTAATTTTGTTATTTAGGTCCGTGACACAAAAATATGTCCAAGTTCGTTTCGAACCTGGATCTCCTGTTTATAAAGCAAGCGCTCTAACCACTGCGTCACGGCCGCTTTTCAACCGGTTATTAACATAAAATACTTATGCAACACCAAAATTGAAAACATCACCGACAGCAGATTCAACATTTTTAAAAAAATTTTATTTAGGGTAAAACAAAATCTTTTACAAAAGCTTTTAAATTTTCTGTTGCTGAATGAGGAGAGAAGGTAAGGAGAGTTATCTAAAATCTTAAATTTCAGAATTTGATTTGTAAGCCATTGCTTCAATGATTGGTTTAATTTTTTGTATAAGTTAGATATATATAAATCTTGAAAATTAAAATAAAGATAATAGGATAAAAATTAAATGCAGATTTATTATTGATGATTATGGTTTGGTCAGAAGTCTCGAAATTAAAAGTAACAGTAAAAATCAACGTATTTTTAAATTTTAAACATTGCTTTGCCATTTTAAAATTATTAATAAAAATAAGCGAATTATTGAGAGATCTATTGTTATTCCGTTTTTATTTTAAAATAAATAGAAATAGCAAGTTTATAAAAATCAACCAGCTGGTTGTCTAACCAAGCGGTTTGCTAGTGTAAATAAAACTAAATTTTTATGTTTGGAATAATAAATTTAATATATATATATATATATATATATATATATATATATATATATATATATATATATATATATATATATATATATATATATATATATATATATATATATATATATATATATATTGAAAAATTAAAAATATTACCTAAAATCCGCTGTATACGTCAGTTATTACATAAAATGTCAATTATAAATTAAGTTATTTGTACTAAATGTTGTAGATTTCTTTTCTTGGTTTTATTAATAACAGAAAATGAATTCTGTAAAATATTCGTCTTGTATGTATTCAATTGTTATGTAGCTATTTACTTTATAAATATTTTATTTATTTATTGTGAAATATCAATATAAAAAATAGTATTAAGATATTAACAAAAGCAACAATTACAAAAATAGTAACAAACCAATTCAATATTTTGTAAAACATTGTATTATTAACCAGATTTTTCCAGTTATGTATTTTGTAGAGTAAACAAAAAAAGCCTTAAAATTTATTTAATTCCTATGGCAACTTAAAAAACTTAAAGTTAATAAAAGTAATTAAAAAAAAAAAGCCTTTGTAATAATTTTATAAAAATCACACTTATGTCTAGGGCTTCGCTGCTTCTGTCTCCCCTCTAATAAATATTGTTTTAAAGCTTAGTTTTAGTAATGATTTCTTTGTCTTATTTTTTTGTTATATAATAATAATAGTTGTATAAAACCTGCAGGAAAACAACAGAATATCATAAAATAGAACAATGTTTTTTAATTCTTATAACTTAAGATGAACGACAACACCGTTGAGCAAAGCTAAAAGTTCACAGGGGGTCTCGGGCGTCTCGCCTAATTTTTGCTTGAAAAGATTTTATTAATTTAGGGTAAAACAGATTTATTTAAAATTAATTTTGTAAAGATTTATTTAAAAAAATTTAATTCAATTCAATTCTTTAACCTAATAATATTAGTTAATATATATACAAATTTTAATAACAAAATGTTTGACAATCATTAATTTTTTGCTATAATGCAAAAGTATTTCTCAGTCCTGTAAAAATATTTGTTATTAATAACATTGGCTAACAAAGTTAACAAATAGTTGTGTTGTATTTTTGTACTGAGTTTGAGACCTCTAACTATATTATTTTGAACTAGATGAGAACAAAAATTATTAAATGCTATGTTGTTAAATAAACGCTTTCAATACAGGTTTTTATTGAGACTACAAATAAACTTCTGCTTTTTTAAAAAAAATTGAATTGATACATTATTCAGTATTGCCCATCTGAAGCTACGATATTTCCTCATTTTTCTTGTAGCTGATAGACTTCCGGTCAAATAAACCAATTGTTTTTCGAGGCCAAAAAAGAACCAAGCCGATTTCGAATACCCTGTTTTGGATACCTTGTTCTTAATTGAAATTTATTCTAATAATTGAATTCTGCATTGATCGTAGCAAATGGTAGTCACACGGGACAGGTTGAAATTGTACGGCGGGTGAGATTAAAGCTACAACCCACTATTTTCAAAATATTTTTAACCGCTCACGGTTGCTTGAATATTAAAAACGGTTTCAGAATGAACATGTTTGCTTATTGTAGTTAAGGTGTTTTGCCGTCAGTCGGTTTAAACAACTAGTTTAAACAACCAAGATAAAATATATGGTCAAGATTACGATTAGACTTTTTAAAGGTTTTAAACACCAAAAATTTTACTGTGGACTGCAAGTAATCTTTTATAATTTATTATATACGTATATATATATATATATATATATATATATATATATATATATATATATATATATATATATATATATATATATATATATATATATATATAAAATTTTATAATCAAGAATATATATATTTTTAATCAAGAATATATAAATTTATAATCAAGAATATTTTAAATAATTTGTTTTGAACTTGTTTGTTATACAAAATTGGACCACAATATGAAATGGAGAGTTTTAAAACCTGTGATCTTTGAATAACAATAAAATTTCTCGGTAATCTTGAGTAACTTTGTTTTTTAAAAAGATTTTAAGAAGTAAATTTAGGTTTTCCCCTTTTTTGAATTTAAAAATTAACAGCGTATATTATAGACGTCATTTAATAGCAACTATATTAGTTTGTTTTAAAAAATCTATTAGAATTTTTATGTATCATATAATATTTCTTATTTGTTTTATGTTGACATCCAATGTAGTTCTAAAAGTGAAAGAAAAAGAAGTAAAAAAAAATCTAAATATTTTTTAATCTTACATGATAATCTTACATGGGAACTCAAAGACGAGCAACAAAGCTAGCCCCTGAACTAAAACATCTAAGTTATACCGAAAGATTGACAAAGTTGGGCCTCACAACTCTGGAAACAAGACGTATAAGAGGAGATCTCATTGCTTTCTTCAAACTAACAACTAGGATTGATAAGATATTGTGGTATAAAGAGCCTAATAAAGCTTCTTCCCAGAGACTTCGAGGTCATCCAATGAAATTTGAAAGAGAATTTGCAAAAACAACACCGAGACATAATTTTTTTACGAACAGAGTGATACCTCATTGGAATGCTTTACCTGAAAAAGTGGTTTCTGCAATGACAGTAAATTCTTTTAAAGCTAGACTAGATAAACGGCTGTTAAAGTAAAAATTTTAAACTTTATGCTCCGCGACAATTGTCGTTACAGCAGTTTGTATTACTATTACTATTACTATGGTTGTATTCTTGAAAAAAAAATAAACAAATAAATTTCAGATTTTTCTACTCGTTTTGTGTGAAGCTGCTCAATGTAGCTAATGTATTTCTCAGGTTATTAGTTTAAGCAATCAAGATATTTCCGTAAAATATCTGGTCTGCAAGATAAACAATAAGGTTGTTTGAAATAAAAACACTAAAGATCTACAGTGGACTGCAAGCAATCTTTTAATTAAAAATTTAATATACATATAAAGAATTTATATGCCATGTAATGGCATATAAATTCTTCATATGCATTAACATAAGTAAACATAATGATTGCATTATTTAGCGGAATCGTAACTTGGACTTTGCTCTGTAATGGAATTATTTTAACAATTGCAAAAACATTTAAACAATAGAGTATTCTATGAAGAAATAAAAGAAGAAAAAGCTACGACTACCAACATTTATTTATGTTTATTTTTATTTATTAAGTGGAGAACGTTATAAATTTGAGTTAAAACAACGTTTTTTTTAAAAGGAATTTATGGGTTCAAACACTTTGTAAAAGTTCTAGCTTTTTTGATTTAAAATTACGTCTAAATTAATTTTTTAATTTTTAAAAATTTAAATATTTAAAACATTTTGAGGCAAACCAACTGAGTTAAGTCCTAAAGAAGTTCAAAGGAGACTTTATTAAAGTACAACTTTTTTATTAAAGTATTGAATTTTAATTTAATCGGTGAATAAAGCGAAAGTCCGACTAAATACAACCGTAAAATTTCGGGAAACTAAAAAAGCTGCAATTTCCCCAGTAGTAAATTTTTGTAAATGGTTTAATAATTATTTTTTGAATAGGATAACATTTTTCACCTTCAAAAAAAAATTATTGAACTATTAACAAAAATTTACTACGGGGAAATTGCATTTTTTTTAGTTTCCTGAAAAGTTTACATTATTGGACTTCCACCAATTCAATTGTAACAAACATAAATTTTTTAGTATAAACAAAAAAATAAAAAACAAAGCGGAGTAGTTGTATTAAACAAAAATAAATTTTTATTTATTTTAGTTTATTTAAAAGTTACAGTTTGTCAAAGGTGAAATTTTTGGTAAATATTTTAAATTTAAGTTTTTTCGTAATTCGTTTAGTGATATTGCTGATAAATTATGTTGAGCACTAAAAATATGGTGAAAACAATAAAATGAGATGCGATATATGTAAAATTAAAAAAAACGATGGGATCTTGGTTGCTATGGTTGCCAACTTGATGCTTTTAACTACCTATTATTACTTCAAAAAATAGTTCAAGAATTTGTGAAGAGGTCGTCGACAAATTACGTCACGCAATTTTTGACAATTTTTAACCACCTACACCGCCCCCCCCCTCGTCACAACATCGTAACTTTTTGGTAAAAAGTTCCGTATGAGTCGTCACAAAACCACTGACCTCTTTCCCCTTAAACATGACGTAATTTATGGACGACTCTTAAGATAAAAGGGTACAATTTTAAACTATTTTATGCAAGTCAGAAATTTTTCTATTAACTTGATTACAAATATTTCTTGAAAAGCCTCTTTTTTTTTTTTAATAACATTAAAAATAAAAGTAACATTGAATATGAATTTTTTTTTTTTAAGTAATTTTGAAATTTGACCAATGGCAATGGTAAAACATATCATTACCATACATAAAATAAGGGCGCATCCATTAATTATATCAATTATGTTTTAGTACTTTACACCCATTTTTTCCTTATGTCAAAATTGTCCAACTTTTTGTGACTAACCAAATAAATTATGTTTAAGAAATATTTCCCCCTCTACCGCTGACTAGTTAATAATCCAAAACCTTTAAAGCGGTGAGTATACAACAGTATATTGCAAAGTTTTATCTTTTTGTTTATACAAAATGGTTCTTTAAATTAATATAAGAGTGTTTTAGGTGGTATGAAAGTGAAATAAAACGTTCTGGATATATAATACAATGACGGTTAACTTTTGTATAAAAACAAACTAAAACAAAAATAGAGCATTTTAAATTTGCTGATTTTTAGAGGACGCTCTAAACTAGATCTTAGTAAGAATTTTAAATATTTCAAATGAAAGATTTAATATTAATCATATTAAATCTTTCATTTGATAGTTGAATTATAAAAGGTAGTTAAATTATATAATTAATAAGGTAATAATTATAAAATCAAACTAAAAACAAAAAGGAATAAAACAACGTGTTACATAGTTAAAATTCATTTTAGAAAAATCTAAGAATAATTTTACTTTTTAAACATTTAAAAGTTTAGAAAGGTGATATAAAGTGAATAGTATACATGTAGAAATTTAACGAGGCATTATAAATTATAATATTGCGATATTGGGTACAATGAGGCGGCATGTGAAATAATGAGGGATTATAAAATATGATTAAAGATTTTGTTTAATTAGACAATATTAAACATAATAACGCAAAAATGTTCAATATTAGTAATGCATGAGGAGTATTGAGATTTTGGATTGTCTGGTATTGTTTATTATTAATTGATTAATCATATATTAATAAGCGAAAGTTACACGTAAAAATTGGAAAGTATTCTCCCCAATTTTTTTGACTTTTGTTTAACTTGCAAAAGTTTATATGTTGCTAAAATGTTGAAATTGTAAAATGTCTTTTTTTTGATAGGCTATATAAAGTATATCAAAGCCTATAAAAAAAAAAACTTATATAAAGTATTCCAGAATTAAAAAACTATTCAATTTTAAATTTACTTTATTTTCAAGAATAAAAATATACAAAAAAGTTAGTAACATGAAAGTCGATTCAATTTCAGTCGATACCGATTTAAAAAATTACACTAACCGCAATATATTTGTATTATTATCGAGTGATATAAATAATAACCAAGTTCCCCAATTCACGCCATTTACAATTACGTCTTTACAACATTTTTGCAAAAAAAAAGAAAAAGAAAAGAAATAAAAAGACGTAAACTTAAATTGCCTTTACCCTCAATCACTCAATCGATGTTCAGAATAGTAAACTTTGGTTCGTTTTGTTTAAAAATTAAAAACACGACAAAACTGCATAAACAAATAACTCAATAATACATATCAGTAAGCTACCAGTAACAAGAGAAAAAAGACCAGCAATTTCCGATGCTAAACGTGTCCAGTTGTTTGTTTTGTCCAATTTATCTTTTTTCTCAATGTATGTATTTCTGTTTTTGTTTTTCATGACAAAGACAAACTGATTATTATTAAGTCGAGTGTCAACTTCAGAAAAAATAGAAACCTCAAAATCAGTTTGTTTGCATGGAAGTAAGCAGATTGGTGGCAAAGTTTCGTTTTGTTTTTTTAAGCAATTAATATTTCTACTAATTGTATTGTTCCTCCCATAATGCATTGCAATACTTTCGGGAATGTATTTTCTGCAGTAGTCAAATGTATCCCCGCATTGCTTAAAAGTACTTATGCAATTATGTGAATTAACGCAATTTTCAAGAGTATATTTTCCTGGAAATATATCGTTTTGTTTTTTATTAATACAGTTAGAATAGGGAGCAGGTAATAATTCGCTTACAACTTTTGTGAAAGATATTTCATACTTTTTTGCAGTTGTTACACGGAATGTTAGATCTTGTAAAGTTCCGTCAACTTGAGGTTCATGAACTATAACTTCTATAACTTCAAAGTATCGTTCCACCTTAACAACCTTCACAATTAATTCAATTATGTTATTAGCGTTTGTATAAGTCCCATTTCCATTCCAAGTAACACATTCTCCACGTTCGTTACGTACTGTTTTAAAAAATTGACTTTGTAAATCACTCGGAGAACATTTTCTACGTAACTCGTCGCAATAAAATTCAAAGGGTTGAATATTTGTTCTATAACTCCCTGTTCCTGCAACATTGCTTCTTTCTTCGACGGTTTGTTTATCTCGAGGACATGGGACATTATAGTTTGAATTTACATCATATATATCCAAATCACAATATAAAAACATACTTTTACGCTCTTTGCATATTGTGACAGCTGGAAATAGGTTTTTTGGGGTAACGATTGTGGATATTTTTTGGCTGCTTTCATAACTTAAATATTCCTGCACTCGAAAGTAAATAGGTAGCGCTACCAATGCACAGCAGAGTATTAGAACAAAACTCCAAAACAGTTTTTCTTGATAACAGCCTAGTAAAATTCTGTTAATTATGAGAGCAGAAAAATGTCTCGAGTGATTGTTTATTTTCTTACTGGGAGAATCTTTCTTTTCGCAAGAATGTGTGACCGTTCCATTTTCTGAATAGAAAGAAAATATTAAAAAGTGCACAATTAAAAAAAAAGTATATTATCAAACTAAAGAACCACTAAAATTAATAAGAACAATAGAGTGTCACATACTCTCAAAAATATATTTGCTTTTAACAAAACCTTTTTTGTTCATCTCTAAATCGTTTTGAGCAGCTTTTTACAACTTGTTTTCAGCTCGATGAATTTGAGGGGAAAAAAAAAAAAAAAGAAAAGTAAAGCCTCTTAATTTTATTTTCTATTACAGATTTTTTAATTCTACTGGTTCGATAAAGAAGAATAGTTAGTCACTTGAATTTTATTGTAAATTTAAAATTGCTTTTCAATTGAATTTGTTTTTTTTATTATATTTAATTTATATTATTTATGTATTTATGTGCGTTTTTAGGAAAAAGAATTTTTCTATTAAAAGTACATTAGCTTATGGAATTTTCAAACAATAATAGAAAACTTTAATTGATTAAAAAAAACATATTTGTTGAATAAACCAATTGGTTCGTTTTTATTTCACTTTGTCCTTTATAAACGAATACTTTTTGTTGGTTATGTAAATTTACAGTGATTCGAAAGATTCGGATGTTTAAATATCAAATTGAAATCAAAATTAAGTAATAACAAAAATATCGCACAAACATTTTTTAAAAGGGAGACAAATCACATGAAACTAGTTTATTCAGAATAAATTTAAACAATTTTTTTGTCTTAAGCAGTAAATATACGTTATTAGGTAAGTACTAATGCAACTAAGGGTGAGGAGTTGTAAAAAAAAAGTACCGACTTCGACTTTAATCGTTGAAACTTTCATAGTACGACTCTGAAGCAAAATTTTTGAAAAATTCTTTGAATTCTTTAAAAAATATTACGCGATAATTTATTTTTGCCAAATTTTATGAAAAGTTCTTTGAGGTTTAGTATGAATATAAGGTTTATTGAGTACATGCACGTGCAATACCGAAAATTTTTACTATTGGAGTCGGAGTCGCGATTTTGTATAACGACTCCGATTCCGCTAAAAATGTTGCGATTTCGATTCCACAGCCCTGAATGCAACAATAACTGGAAATAAACTCGCATCACGGTTAGGAAGGAAGCGTGAACGTCCTGGTTAAACGCACTTGGGGCACCTAAATAAAAAACAAAAAAAAATTAGGCGTGGGTATGAGAATAGTTTAATTCACCATTAAAACTTTACGAGTATTTAAGTTTGCCTAATAAAACCAAGTAGGTTGGGCAGCTTACTTAGTTAGAATATTGAACAAAATATCAATCTTTGAAAAAGTTAAGCAATACGAGTTTAAACCCATTTTCACTCAACGCATCAATAATGCGCAACTTTGGCAATAAAGGACAGCACTTCTGGTCATTTAAAAGACTATTTGTTGCGGTATTCTTTGTAGTGAACTGCTTGAATGTATGTAATAGAAGACTTTTGCAACTGGCTTTTTACTTGTCACTATAAGAGAAATTAAAACCATAAAAACATTTTTTTTATTCGCTTAGTCTCTAGGTTTGCCAAAAATATCGGATATAAAATGCGCTTGCATTTTTCTGCAGTAAAAATGCAATTTAACAAAATTTAGCATTAAAACGTTCAAATTAATGAAAGCAACGAGTTTGGTAAATGTCTCTTATTTGACACGTTTACCAAGACACTAAACCACAATACGCTACGAATAATACTCAAATACTTAGCTTGCTTTAGTGGATAAAAATTAGATTTTTATCCACTAAAATCTTTATCATTAAATGCTTTAAATAATATTATGTTATAACATAAAAAATATTGTTATATTTTTAGCAAAGAATTTTTTTTTTATTCACTTTTTCTAACAAAATAATAATTTAAAAAAAATTGCACAACCGACCAATCAAATCGCACAGCCGACCAGTCTAGTCTTTGCTGATTTAGATAATAAGCGGGAGACACAATTTGTTTTTTTTGATAAAACATTTCGTTTTTATTAGAAGATTTTTTTTTTTTCACAATAAAAAATAAAGATAAAACATCAATAAAATATTATAAAGTGAAAATAACTTGTTGAACTAAACTTTTTTGAATTTATTTTATTTTATTTAAAAAATACATTAAAATTTTTTTTTTTTTTTTTTCAAACAGCGGTACTCAACCTTTCTTTTCGAAGCTTTGATATCCCGGAATCACAAAATTAAACTTTTTCTCCCTTTATATTTTTGTGTCTAATATATTGAATAACTTAAAAGATCCGGTCGGTCAGACAACCTCTGTAGAGTTTGTAAACAAGAAGATGAGAACCGCTCAAATTAAAGTAAACAATTAAACCAATTGAATAGTTAAGTACACAATTAAATTTTCGTAAAATTTATCGGAACTCTGCTTAAATATATCGGAGCTTTGCTTAAAAACACGAAATCAACTTGATAGCCAAAATCGCTTGCCAATGGACTTCCAGGGGGCTTTTATATAACTAAAAAAAAAATGTATATATATATATATATATATATATATATATATATATATATATATATATATATAAATATATATATATATATATATATATATATATATATATATATATATATATATATATATATATATATATATATATATATATATATATATATATATATATATATATATATATATATATATATATATATATATATATATATATATATACAGTATGGTGCAAAACTGAACCAGAGTTTTTAAAAAAATACAAAATTATGGTTTATTTTGTTTTCGATATATTAGCGCTGTCTGGATTATTACAGTAGTAAAGTGCTAATTTTTATGACTTTTTACGCCTCCTCCTTTTACCCCAATTCACAAGTATTTTTATCTAGTGACAAACATCTTTTGACTCAGTTTTGCACCATACTTGATGAAGGCAATATCTTTATTATTTTTCTCAAATTAATTTTATAATTTTGAGTGCAAATAAATTGACTATATTTATATCTAAAATAATTTTCTGTTTTCATAAATTTTATTGTTTAAATTTATTGCTTTTGATAGTTTTTTAATAAAATGAGAATTTCAAAGACAGAGAGCAATTTAATAAAAAAGATGATCGAAGAAGGAAATACAACTCGTAAAATTGCTTCTAAATTAAAAGTTAGTCAAAGTACTGTGCAACGAATTAGAAAAAAATGTGGACATATTCTGAAAAAAAATGTTGGCGGTCGACCAAAGAAGTTGAGTGCGGTAGACAGTAGAAGAGTAATCAGATATTTGACTACTGGAGAAGAAAAATCGACATCTCATGCAGCTAAACTTTTGCAACGTGATACAGGAAAAAATGTGAGCAGGTGGACAGTGCAGCGAGATCTCATAAAAAGTAAATTTCGAGCAATTGAAAAGAAGAAAAAACCATTACTTGGTAAAAAAAATATCAAAGCAAGATTAATCTTTGTAAAAAAATATGAAAACTTTACCGAAGATGATTGGAAGAAAGTTATTTGGTCAGATGAAACTAAAATTAATCGGTATAGCACAGATGGCCGCCAATTGAGCTGGAAAAGAGAAGGCGAACCATTAACCCAAAAAGATTTTATTCAGACAGTAAAACATGGGGGAGGCAATATTAAACTATGGGGGTGTATGACGGCTTATGGATTGGGACCTATTCGAAGAATAGTTGGAAACATGAATAAGGAAATGTATCTTGATATTTTACAGCATGAATTATTGGAAACTGTTGAAAATATGCCTTACCCAATAAATGAGGTCATCTTTCAACAGGACAATGACCCAAAGCACACTGCTAAAATGGTTAAGAATTGGTTAGCTTCGCAGGACTTTCAAGTGCTAGAATGGCCAGCACAAAGTCCTGATTTGAACCCAATAGAAAATTTGTGGTCACAATTAAAAAAAGCGCTCGTTAATAACTATTCTGACCCTCCATCATCCATTAATGTGTTATATGAACGAGTTCAAGAACAGTGGAAAAATATTTCGTTAAACCTTTGCGAAAATCTTGTAAAGAGCATAAATAGAAGATTAGCAGCAGTTAAAAAAGCTAAAGGATTATGGACAAAATATTAAAAATTGACAAAATTGACAAAAATTGACAGTTTTTTTATCGTGGTGCAAAAGTGATTCACCATGTTTTTCATTTATTATTTTGTAAGTAAATATTTTTCTTCAATAAATACTTAATAAAAATTGTTTTTTTAATAATAGTTCCTACCAGCAATATTAATTCTCAAAATGCTTAATTCTTTATAAGAAAATAAAAATATTATGCATTCTGGTTCAGTTTTGCACCATACTTGTATATATATATATATAAACATCACGATGATACATAAATGTAGATTATGATGAGCATTTATGCTAATTTTTACATCGTATTTTTAAAGTTGTAAATAAATTAAATATCTGACATTACTTTTATTCGATTTTTACTTGTTATTTACATTTAAAAATGTATTTAAAGTGTTTATTCAATACAATTAACGTCTTTCTGCTAGGTTAATTGACTTTAAAAACTATTACTACTAGATTTTCCATGAAAACACATACCTCCATGAATATTACAAGTACAAACTTTTAGCTATGGGTTCCACTAATGTTATTGAAATATTTAAACAATAACCGGATAAGTTTTGATTTTTAACAAGATTAGTTTTGAATAACAAGCCTAGATGACTTGTTAAGCAAAAACCTAACTCTTTCATAATATAAAATTCTTAAAAAGTGGATTAAAATCAAATTTCAACATTAAGGCAGAATTTGCGGAAAAAGGCCACATTTGCATAAAAAAATGGTGTTTCACCAAAACAACGCACCGCCTGACTTCTCAGAGGTTATGGTAAAAATCCACGAATTACGGTTTGAACTGCTTGACCATCCGCCTTACACAACAAATCTAGCATAAAGCGAGTTTTTTTTTAGATTTTTGTCAAGCGAAGAGACAATCACCTTAGTAAACAATTATTTTGCAGAGGAAAACGCCAAGTAATATTTTGCCGAGTTACAGAGATGGACGCACCGCTGAAGAAGTGTTTAGAGTTACTAGGAGACAATGTTAAAAAATATAAAAAAAAATTTCATAAAATTGACTTTTATCTTTGTTAGGTCGGAAACTTTATAGACCACCCTCTTACATTTATAATTTCTGCAGTAAAATTAGGGGAGTTTGTGTATCTAGGGCCTGATTTTTTCAATGCCCCAGACTTGTCTAAAAATAGTGAAACTGGCATGTTCACATCTCTATAACTATTACTTTGTATCAATATGGATATAATGAATTAAAATATAAAAATCCGTCATGTAGAAGGCTTTAAAAACTAGTGGCTCTAAATACAATAGGAGTTTTTCTAAGTATCTACCCAGATAGTACGCATACGTTAGGCCAACGTTGAGCGCGTTAGACAATATTTTCAACTACGCGCCAACGTCAATTCAACGTCGATCCAACGTCGGAATACAACTGATTTTAAATGTGTATAGTGTGTTAATGTTGAAATAGTTTTCGGCCATTTTTGATTGCTGTTTTATTTTAGCGTAATTTTTTTTATTAGAGAATTTTATTGCTATGAATTTATAACCGAATAAAAATTAGTATATAGACCATATTTTATACATTCTTTGATAAATGTATATTTATTACATATTATTTAACTTGTTTTGAACAGCTGCCGTGCAAATGAATAAGTGCCTTGAAGCAAATGTTGCAATTATTTACGACATTATAAGGTTATGGTTAAAATATGAAGGGGACCATCATGCAGGAGGAAGGAATTATGACGAGGAAGACGATAACTGATGCATTTTTATATAAAATTACTATTAATTAAATGTAACATATTACTAAGCAAACAAACATATTCGATTTGTTTGCTTAATTTATGTTGATCTTTTTTATGTAATCTTTTTGTACACTATTATATATTTATATATAATTACTTTTATATATAGTTTGTAAGAATATTTTAAAATAATTTTAACATTACAAGAAATTTTATTTATTAGCAGTACAAAACACATTTACTTATTTGTGTACTATTATTAATTTTCAATATATATATATATATATATATATATATATATATATATATATATATATATATATATATATATATATATATATACATATATATATATATATATATATATATATATATATATATATATATATATATATATATATATATATATATATATATATATATATATATATATATGAGTGTATTTATATAGAATTTTATTGCTATAAATTTAAAATAATTGTGAGTATATTGGGATATAACATCAAATCATAAAAACACAATGTTACACAATTTTGTATATCATTAAATATGTAGTATTAAATTTTTCTTTAAAATAAGGGTTTACTTAAGTAGTTAATAACAATTTAGTTATTTGTTGTTAATAATTACATTGTTATCAATTTAGTTATTTGTAGTACATTGTTAAAGCATCATTTGCAAACATTTTCATACAAAATAACGAAAAGATTTGGTTAAATTTGTATAAAGTTTCGTTTTTAGTAAGCTATTAATTATGATAGTTATGCAAAGAAGTTGTAAAGGCATTTCAAAGCATAAACAGATTGAACTACATATTTTTTTTGTTTTTTAGAATTCAGGATGGTTGAATCACGAAATGGTCTTTAGAATTCAGGATGGTTGAATCACGAAATGGTCTTTAGAATTCAGGACGGAATCACGAAAAGAAGAGGCAATAAAAGAATCAAAAAAGATTGAATCACGAGGTGGTTGTGAAAAGAAATCCACTAATTGTTGGTTAGAGAGCACAGGTATAAAATACTTTATTTCCATTTTTATACTTATTTGAAACTAGTAGTTATACTTCGCTACCACTATTTTATATTTATAATTTTAATAGTAGTTATGGCATTGCCTAAAAGGTCATCTAACGAAAGATGTTCTGAGATTTCTATCAAATTGTATAATGAGTAGTTCAAAGTTTTTCTCAAGCAAATTAAAGACTCAAGATTCGTAAAAAATACATTACTATTTTTGAATATGTGTATAATTTGTAAGAATATTTTAACGTCATTATAATGGTTATTACAACAGATGTTCTGTGTTATCATAAAATTCAAGTTGCTTTATTAATCAGCATAAAAATCAACTTTCGTTATTTAACTTATTTTGGAGAAAAAAAAAATCAATTCAATACTTTTAATGAACATTACGTAAAAAATAGAAAGTACTTACCTTTTGAATCAAAATTATAAAGATTCTTATATATAATAGTATCACATTTGATTAACGTTAGAATGCGACGCTCGCCAAACGTCGGAAGTTAACGTTGGACCAACGTAAGCCCAACGGTTGGCTGCGACGTCACGCCGACTGCCAAATCTACGTGTGGCGACGTCAGTTTTCGACCATCGTTCAATCAATTTTTTTTGACGTTGATCCGACGTTACACCAACGTGTATGTGTAGGGTAGGGCCGACGTTAGACCAACGTGTATGTGTAGGGTAGGGCCGACGTTAGACCAACGTGTATATCTGGGTAGGGACGCTCTCTGAAAATTAGGTTCAAATCCATAAAAAATAGATAACAAAGATAGATACATAAACTTAAAAAAAAAATTTAACCTTTGACTGTTTTTAACAAATTTATTTATGTTTACTTAGAATTTCCAACATTAAAATTTTTAATCTTAATAGTTCTGAGCTAAATTGACAAATAAGTCTACGCGTAAAATGGTAATCTCAAAACAACCGCAAAAAGAAAAAAAAACGCCCTGCACCAATCAAAATTTAATAACATAGTGATCAAACAAATTTTTTCATAAGAAAAACACACATATGGTACAACCTAGGTGCAAGCAAACTATAGGGCCCTGGGTACAAGACAATATCGTCACAAAAAACGTCATCTATTCATAAACCCTGATTGAGAGGAATCTTATTGAATACCGCATTTAGTACTTAAGTAACAAACAATATAATATAAAGGAATCTATAGAAATGCATTTCCTCTAGGATTGTAAAACAATATAAGATACCAATAACAAAACTTTACTTTAGACCATCAAAAAGCATTTTCAGATCATAACTTGTAGTAGCAACACTCTCTGAGAACCAAAGTAGGATTGAAAATTAAATTTTTTATATTAATTAACCTGACTGAGAAGCATAACTTAGAACTTTATAGCTTTCAAAATAAGCGGGGTGGCCCTAGGTACAAGTAGTCCTTAAGTAAAGAAACTTCTCCTATTCAAAAAAAAAATATTCACATGTGTTACGGCAAAAAATGGGAAGTTTTAAGGTTGTGAACAAACTTGTTAAATCATTTGGATACTACCCTGACTTAAAAAAAATTGAGAAATCAGCGAGATCTTTGTTAGATGTTGATTGAGATCAAAAACAAGAGAAAATTTGAGAAATTAAAATCAATCAATAATACTCTTGTAATAATTTATATTTTCATTTATCTTAGCTTAGACTATTTAATTTCTAATTCTATCCAATGTTATCTTATCTTGTATGACATAGAAAACGTTTTAGAAGTTCGAACTTGAACATGTTCGAACTATTTGGGAAAAAAGTTCGAACATTTTCAAACTTTTTTTAATGTACTAAAACACGCAAAATAAAAGAGTACAAGTTAAAAGCAAAAGTGTTTATTTATCTATTAATAAAACTACTTAATTATAAAAACAAAACTGTTTATTATTGAGGCCCGCATCTCATTTACATTTAACTTGAAAAAATTGTCTATTTGAGAATAAACAACATCACAGTATTTTTAAGTGTTTGTTTTAAAAAAGTTAATCCATTTAATGTATTATCCCCTAATGAGCTCCTTATTTTTGTTACAAATAATCCTACGCTAGAAAAAGCCCTTTCAGCCTCCACAGATGTCGAAGGAATAGTTTTAAGAACATTAAAAAGCATTACTAAATTTTTGGGTCTTAATTTGCTGTCTTCAAAAAGAGCCATTTCCTTTTTAATGAGGTTAGATCCAAGTTCACCTTTGTCTACTGTCATTTGAAAATCAATTGCTTTAATAAAACATTTAACTTTTTGAGCTGAAGTCAATTTAATGTTACTATTTTTCATATCATCAGTTATATCACTGTTAATGATTTCTCAATCAGCATCAGAATCTTCCTTGCTAGACTGGAATAATCTTTGAATAAGATTGGTAGCAAAATTTGCTATAGTTTATTTTTAATTTATTCCCAAACTGATTATCTTGATTCAAAACATCTGGGTTTGACAAATATTTCATTAGATGTATTAACTTTATGTTTCTTCTTTCAACAATTCTTTTTTTCAAATTGCTGTTTTACAAGTTGACTAATTGGCGTGTTGGTTCATTCAATTTTTTCTGGATAAATTGAATTATAAATTATTATTATAAGACAATAAATTAGCATCACGCTTGGAAAGTGCTTCAATAGCTAGTTTGAGCAGCTTTAGGGCAACACAAAGGTTATTAACTTTATCAAGTTCATTCTTAGAAAGAGGAAAATCGGTGTTTTTGCTAATTAAAACTAGTTTTATTTCTTTTTGGACTTCCAAAAACCGTTCTAGCATAACAATTGTGCTGCTCCACCGTGTCCTGGAGTCACAAATTAAAGCTTTCTCTTTTCCGAATTTTGGCCACCGACATTTGAAATTCAGTTTTCAATGAGGGTACCAAACTTTTAGTAGATATTTGAATTGTTTCAACATAACCAATCAAATTTTCATCTTCTTCCTCACTATCGCCATCATCATCTTCATTAACATTTTCAATAGAATCATTAACTTCAATAGTATCACCAACTTCAATGGTATCATTAACTTCATTGTTATTACCAACTTCAATGGTATCACCAACTTCAATGGTATCAACAGGTTCATTAACAAAATTATCGTTTGGTAGTGCAGCATTTTTTTTTTTAAAAAGCATATCAATTATGCATAAATGGACATGATTATAACACATTTAATGTTCAGGTTTAGTGTCATAGCCAATTTTTTTCATCAAACTGGCTCCATCTGTAACAGAGGCAACAATATCTTTGTCTAAGTTTAAAACAAATGAATTAACTTTGTTTTTAATTAGTTCAATGGCTTTCGATGCTGGCATTGTGCCATGTACCCTTAACATTCTAAAAGATTGAAATCCTCTGTTATAATGAATATTCAAATTTATGAATCTCCTGTTTTTCACTGATGTGTACTCATCAAATGTAAGGCTAAATTTGCCATTAGTTAAAATGACATCTTGTAATGTAGTTTATTATTTGTTTCTTGATTACTTTAAAGTAATTTATCACTAAATCACAAACAGTTTGATGACTTTTGGGCAAATTATATCCATGAGCACGAAATGCTGATCATAAAACTTAACTATTAGCAATGGTTGTAAACTTATTCCAATAATAACAGTCAATCTGCTCAAGATTTCAGGTAAAGTTCCCAGAACTAAAAAAGTTTTGAATTCTTGGTATTTTAGGAACATGACTAATTTCGACAACCTCAGAGGGCAAGGTATTACATTTAATAATGTCAACTTTATGTTTGGTTTTGTTTTGTAATTGTCTTGTAACAGTGCTTGTTGTTAAACCAGGAGTTTTTAATAAATCTGTACATATTTTACATTTGGCTTGTTGCAGCTTTCACGAAAGTTCAAAATTAGCCCAAATCTCAGATCTTCTGGATTTGCTAACGTCTTTGAAAGTAGCCATGTTTTATTTTTACTTAATGTTTTTATTTTTTTCAAACGTAAATAAACAGTGATCAAACTGTCACTGTTTATTTAATTTTTAACATAAAAAAAATGACACATGAATTGCAATGGTTTTACATGTGAAGTTATTGTGTTTGTTTTTTTAGAGTGACTACACAAACACTGTTTTTCTAAATTTTGAATAGCTACAAATAAATTAAAAAGGAAAGAACAATGTTTTCAAAAAATCTAACAGTTCAAAATGCTAATTTTTATTTATATTTCAGCTGTATTTATCGAAATGACCGTTAAGGCATTTCTTCTGAAAGTTCGAACTTTTAAGCAAAAAAAAGTTCAAATCTGAATGTTGAAATTTTAGAGTAAAGTTCGAATGTTCGAATATGAACTTTTTCAAGCTAGCAGCCATAGTGGAAATATCTTAAATTGTTTTACTTAAACTGCTTTTTTAACTGGTTGAAATAAAATCAATTTTAAATATGGTGGCATTGATAAAACAAATAATTTAAAATTTTTAACTTTTATAAAAAAAAATTAAATTAAAAGATTACTATTATCAATTTCTAAAATAAAAATACTAGATATATACACACACATACATACATACATTTATGAATACATACATTATGTATATTATGGAGAAATCTTTTAGAAAATTAAGTGCTAGGCTCATTCAAATTGAATGAATTAAGGTTGGGTCTTTTATATTGAACAACTCAAGACCGGCATGTTGACATCAGCCCACATTTTACAAAAATAAACATATTAGCTTGCTGATACAGACAGATAATGGGAGAGTATTTTTAGTGGAAAAGTAAAATAACTATAATAATATTTTATAACTAAAAAGTCAGTATGACATTTTACCTTAAAAATGATGAGACGTAACCATGTTGGCTATCTAAAAAACAATTTATAGATAAAATAAACCAACTTATAGATTAGACTAATCTACATAAATTAATTTATAGATTAGAATAATCTATATAAACTTAATACTAAGTTTAAAAAAAAATTATAATAATGACAAAGGATATTATAAATAAATTGGGATATTAAATAGGATTTTGTAGTCCACCTGGTGCTAAAAACTGTAAATGCTGTAAAAGCATGTATAATTAATCAACAGCAATTTTGGGTTTTAGTACAAAAATCCTTTAATTTCTTTTCAAAAACATTCAAAAAATTTTTATGCAACTGTGTAAAAATATATTGCGATAGTAGTGTAATGCTCACTTCATAAGCGAGAGATTCCGAGTTCGATCCCCACCTCATCTCAGGTAGTACCGCGCTCAACTTGTTTCTCAGAGCAGCGGCCTTGTTCGTCAAGGTTTATGTTTTGGAATTATAGAGTTAAGAGAGGTTTATAACCACAACTAAGTAGCCTCCTCGTCTGTAGTGGTCTTCTTGGCCTTGGGGAGGTGAATTACCAAAAAAAATAAAAAATCAAATGTTTAACAACTTTAAATATTTTTTTAAACTTTGAAGAATAAAATATGGCAACAATGATGATATTGATGATAATGCGTTAAAACTATTTCATTCTATCATTGTTGTTAAACTATCACAATTTAATAGCTATATATATATATATATATATATATATATATATATATATATATATATATATATATATATATATATATATATATATATATATATATATATATATATAATTTCATACATTTTTAAACCAACAAAAAAAATAAAGGTAAATAACTTCATACTATAAATTTATTAACATAGAGCAGTGAAAATTTCAAGGAAATTTAAAAAAGAAATATCAAAAGAAAAAATTGGTCAATTTTCCCAAATTTTTTAGAAAAAACAAAAAAATAAAGTTGAAACTTCAAAAATAGCTGTTATACTGCAACAGGTATAATTTTGTCTGGACTTAGCTTTTTGTGTCAAATACTTTCACCAAAATGGTAAAAATTTCATTGAATTTCAATATTTTAAAAACCTGAATGTGCAAAGTTATAATATAATACATTAAATTTGTTAATGATTCAAAAACATTTCTAATTAAAGAGTAAAAAAAAAAAAGTATTTAAGAAAAACATTTTTCAATTAAAGTTTTTTTTAAATACTTGAAAATTAACTAATTTACCATCATCATGAAACAAAACTACTTTTACACATTTTAATATTCTGTTTTTTTTTTTTTTTGTTTTTTTTTTATATTTTATGATTTACAACCATGCTTCCACACTTGTGTTGTTTTGATGTCATTTTAACAAAGCCATTTTCTTATTAAACATAGGACATTATAGAAAAGTTTAAGCTGAAGTAGAAAATATGTCATATACTTTTTTTTTTTTTTTTTTTTTTTAACATTTTCACTTCCAACAAGGCTGCAAGCAACCACTATAAGAGTTGGAAGTTACTGGAAGAGAAAAGACTAAATCTGTAGAGCAAGATAACGATTGACTGATGACTTAAAAGATTGCAAATTATATGAATCAGGAAAGCAAGATGAAGGAAGCGAATTCCAAAGAACTGATGTTTGAGGAAAAAAACTAGAAGAATAAGAGTTTTTGAAGCACTTAGGAACAGTCACAGAAAAAGGATGAGACTTAATTGAATGGTGAGTAACACGAGAATGAATTTTAGTAGATGGCACAAGGGACGCTAGCTCTTTAGAGCAGTGCCCATTATAGTATTTGTAGAAAAGAGAAAGAGAAGCAACATTACGACGATGTGACAAAGGTTGGAGATTGGCTGCCAGAGCAGGTCCAACTATGTTTACAATTCGTTTTTGCACCTTGTCTAAAAGAGAAAGAGCATCATTAGAAGATCCGCCCCAGATGTGGCAACAGTATTCCATACAGGGACGGATTTGAGATTTATAGAGATAGAGAATAGAATCTGGAGTAAGAAAGTGTCGAGCTCGATAAAGAGATGCAACCTTAGCAGATGCTAATTTTGCAATGGATTTGATATACGGTTTAAAAGAAAGATCAGAAGTAAGAGTTAATCCTAGAAGATGAATGGTAGATGACTCATCTAGTACATTACCATTCATAAATATAGGAAGATCTAAATTATTACGATAACGATTGGCCGAATAAAATTGAGTTTTATCTGAATTAAAGTTCACCAGCCACTGTGAGCCCCATGCTGTAGCAGAAGTGAGATCCTTTTCAAGCTCAGATACCCCCTCCAAGCAATCAGAGAGTGTAGGCTTCTTATCATGACAAGAGTAAATGGTAGTGTCGTCAGCGAATAATGCCACCTTAGATGTGAGAATATCTGGAAGATCGTTAATGTAAATTAAAAAGAGTATAGGGCCAAGGATTGAACCTTGAGGAACCCCTGAAGTTACAGGATGTGAAGAAGAGTGTTGTCCATCGAGGACAACTTTTATAGTACGACTGGAAAGAAAGGACTCAATAATCTTAAAGACGTTACCAGCTACACCATAAGAAGAAAGCTTATGGAGAAGACCAGCATGCCAAACTTTATCAAAAGCTTTAGAAATGTCAAGTGCGATAGCCTTAACCTCTCCACCTCTATCTAATGCACGGTAAAACCTATCGGTTATTACTGTTAGCACATCAGCTGTAGAACGAGAAGACCGAAATCCATATTGATGGTCAGAAAGTAAGTTATTTGATTCAAGATGAGAGATTAAGTGTTTGTTAATTAAAGATTCAAAAACCTTGCTTATGACAGGAAGAAGACTAATGGGACGGTAGTTAGATGAATCAGATCGCTCTCCGGAATTTTTGAAAATAGGGATAACAGATGCTGCTTTCCAGCATGATGGAAAACAAGACTCTGATAAGCACTTGTTAAATAGTTTAGAAAGTATGGATGAAAGCTCCGGAGAACACCTCTGCAAAACTACAACAGGAATGTTGTCAGGACCACAAGCTGTTGAAGAGTCTAAGCAGGAAATTACTTTAGATACAGAAGCTGAAGTGATGCGAATGTCAAGCAAGGGATCAACCTGTTTGACGGCTATGTCAGGTAAAACGCAACTAGTGGAATCAAGAGATGATATTGATGAAAAGTTCTTAGCAAACAATTCAGCTTTGTCTTTAGGTGAGGTGACAAAGTCTGAACCATACAAGAGAGAAGGAATAACTTGAAAATCGAATCCTTGATATCTTGATATTTTGAGTATTCTCAAAATATCAAGATATCAAGTATATCTCAAACTTTTTTTACATTTTTTTTAAGTACTGATTTGGGGTAAAATCCTCTTTGATATCTTGAATCTTAATTTTCTCAAATTTTTTTATATCTTGAATAATATTTTTGGTCCTCAGGTAATTTTCTCTCGTTATTTCAAACATTTTAACAAATGTTTTTATTAATTGCATTTAGTTTTTTTAAAATTCCATTTTTTGATAATTATTTCTATGAAATTTTTTAAAATTTAATATTTAAATTTGATTTTTTTTATGAACTGAATTTCTAAACAGTATTCCTTTAAAGAATTAACTTATTGTTTTTGTCAAACACAATAACATGCCGCTCTTTAACTGAAAACTTACAAACAAATCTATAAAGAAAAACGCAAGGCATTAAAAAAACCTGGAGAAAAGTATGTATATCAAAGAGGTTGCCAAAAAGTATAGTGACCAAAAGTACAAAATACCAACTTGGGTTAAAAATAAAAACAAATTAATTATTACTTACTACAAAAAAATTGTGCAATATCTAAACGAAAGAAACTTCATAGTGTTAATTTTTGAAAATTTAGACAAGGCCATACTCACATGGTTTGTACCAATCGATAACACCATACTGAAAAAAAAAACACTAAAATTCATAGAAACATTAGGAGAGTTGGATTTTAAAGCATCTGATTGTTGGTTTCATAATTTGAAAGAAGGTCAGTAAAATTTAATCAAATCTTGTTCAATTTAAATATAAACAGATACACATGTACCAGCATTGAATTTTTTAAATGTGTGATTAAAATTTAATTATTCTGTTTCCATTTTTAGGAATAACATCAGCTTTAAAATTCTCAGGTGAGAATTTTAAAATTCTCAGCTTTAAATTCTCAGCTTTAAAATTCTCAAGTGCCTCTGTGACAAATGATTAGTGCTTCATGAAATAAAAACTACACTTCCAACATTGCTTTTAAATAATTACAAACTTGAAAATATTTTCAATGTCAATGAGTTTGGACTATTTTACCAGTGCCTATGAAACAAAATGTACCATTTATCACTAATAAAATATTTTGTGCTTAAGGCAGGAAAGTAGCACTCCTGTGGATAACTGTTCTACCCATCCACACATTGAAAAGCCAAGCAACATCAACCTAATATTTTTTCTCCCTAATATCAGCACATGGATCAGAGCATAATTCTAAGTCTTAAAGCTCACAATCGTCTGAAAATTGTGTGTTTTGTCAATAATAACTAAACCCTGCTGAAAATATTTACCCTTCAAGAAATTAAAGATCTTTTTTCTTCTTGGAGTGCTGTGTCAAAAGAGGCTGTCTTTAATTGCTTTCAAAAAGCTGGTATCAGCAAAACAAACAAGCATATTATAGAAGCTGATAATGATCATCCTTTTAAATTGTTTGTAAGTGTTAGATCCTAGTAGTGCCCAAGAAGACCTTTCACTGGAATCTTGCATTGGTTTAAATTGTAATGTGGTAACCACCAGCTCACATGCTACTGATGCTGAAATCATTGCTAAGATTTTAGACATTAATTTTGAAAATAATGAAGATGAAGTTGAAGATTTGAAGAGTTGACAAAGGTATTGGCGTCAAAACCCCTCCATGCCCATCTGGTGTTTAATTAGAAGATGCTTTTGAAATGCTTCAAAATACTTTGCTATATATTATACTGCACATATTGTACATTAGATAAAAGACATATATTTATCATCTAATTGAATATCTGAGTAAGGGATTAAGAGTAAAAAGCTTCC